TATTGTATTAGCAATAGTGACGGAAAAGAATGTAGTCTTAATCTTATACGGATATGAAATAATTAACCGAAAAAATTATTTTATTTTATTTTATTTTATTTTATATTATGCATTAATGGATCTTTATGAATCTATTGTATAATTATATTATTGTATTATATTAGAAGAAAAACAAGCATTTTCCTGCATTTTATATCAGTATAATATGAAATTGAAAACATTTGTCTTTCATTTACATTTTTAATACCGGTTTGCTTTAAATAGATTCTAAAACAATTTCGTTGATATAAACACGTGCGAGTTTCTCTTCTATATTTATTTCTTTTTTCCAAGCAACTAAAATAAATAATATAAAAATAAAAAAATAATAGAATATATAATAAGACAATCATGCAATATGTTTTGACAAAATTCAATATGGTTAATATCTTCAAATTTATTATACATAAGTATACATAAATAAGCGTTGATTATTTTTGTCTTTCTTAGGAATGCGGCCATCGTGAGGTAATATGCATATAAAGGTTCTTCTGTATTCTTGCATGTATGTTTATTACGGACTTCATTCTTTTCTTTTACTTTGCTCGATAAGTATTAGAATGAGAATATAAATCGACGTTATCTGCTTTGCCATGGTATTTTTTTTATAATTAAAGTATCAAATCACCTATATTGCATTTGTAGATATACAATCTTTTATATATATAAATTTTTTATCGATCGAGATAGTTAGATATGTTTAGAGATATTAACATAGTAATAATTATGTAACATCTATCAGTAATTACTATGATGACATTATTTACTACAGTTGCATGTTTATCTCAGAAATTGAGAAATGTTCATAGACCGAGTTAGCTATTATTTTTTATCACATATTCAACTAAATTTGCAATATTTACGATACAAATAACCTATATTGATTTTTAATAAATGAGAGAGAGAGAGAGAGAGAGAGAGAGAGAGAGAGAGAGAGAGAGAGAGAGAGAGAGAGAATTACTCTTAAATAATTGAAATCAGGATATTTCAATATTATTTTAAGATGATAAATGATTTATTTATGTTACATGAAAGTATATTATCTCGCAACGACTTGTTCCGTCGATCTTATTTCTTGTAATCGTTGTTAATAATCAAATTAAGTTTTTACAAAATTAAGCAGAGAAAGATCCTATTGCAGATTGTGCCAAACCTCGTTAGAATTTTGAAGAACCTAATCCTAGCCGGATACTCGCCCGAGCACGACGTATCCGGAGTATCGGATCCATTTCTTCAGGTGAAGATACTGCGTCTTCTACGTATTCTGGGACGTAACGACATTGACGCATCCGAAGCTATGAATGATATTCTTGCTCAAGTTGCCACTAATACGGAAACCAGCAAAAACGTCGGTAATACGATACTCTATGAGACGGTTCTATCGATCATGGACATTAAGTCGGAGAGCGGGCTTCGAGTCTTAGCGGTCAACATACTGGGCAGATTTTTATTGAATAATGACAAAAATATCAGATATGTGGCTCTGAATACGTTATTGAAGACAGTTTACGTGGACACCAGCGCGGTGCAGAGGCATCGATCGACAATTCTAGTAAAATATTCATACTTACAGATTTTCTTTTTTAAGCTGAAGATAAGATTATTCATTACGATTAATATTCTCTTGGCGTATTTTAGGAATGCTTGAAAGACCCAGACGTATCGATTAGAAGGCGTGCGATGGAGCTAAGCTTTGCGCTCGTCAATTCTAACAATATCAGGAATATGATGAAGGAATTGCTCCTATTTTTGGAACGTGCCGATCCCGAATTTAAGGCTCAATGCAGCAGCAATATCGTTATGTCTGCGGAGAGATTTGCTCCGAACAAACGCTGGCATCTCGAGACTCTCTTCAAAGTACTTGTCGCGGTGTGTATTTTTACAAGTTCATAACACGACGAAATATATGGACAGAATTGTCGAGATTCAAATCTTTTTTTTTTTAATTTTCAGGCTGGTAATTATGTGCGAGATGACGTAGTGGCATGCACGATACAATTAATTTCGGAGACGCAGTCACAGCAGGGATATGCCGTTAGTGCATTGTGGCGCGCGTTAGAAAAGGATACGTCCGATAAACAGCCTTTGGCGCAAGTTGCCACATGGTGCATCGGCGAATACGGCGATCTATTGTTATACGGTCCACCGTCAGAAGATGCCGAGACTCCAATCAATGTAAGTTCAATTGTAGCAACTATAGTATTTATTAGGGATGGCCAAAAATCAATTAATTCGGTTTCTGATTCATCAATGAATCAATTCAAATTGAAAGCCGACTTGAATATATACTAATTGAATAATTTGAACCAATTCTATTTGATTTTTTTGTATTTTATTAATGCAATTTAGGACGCATATAAAAGTGAGCGTAGTAAAATTGATCAGTGCAATCGGAGAATAATTATTTTACATTTAATGATTCGTTAGCACTTGGAGCAAAAATTCAATTTCAAGCATTTAAACTGAAAAATAAATACCGAAAGTTTTTATTTAAAATATATGAAAAGTTTTATTATAAATTTTGGTATTTTTTGAATGTCAACAAAATATTTATATAAATATGAAAGTATTAACTTTCATCAGGAACCATGTTTAATACATTTTTATAATACTTTTAAAACTGTACTATGTTCAATAAATTTTTACATTATTTTTAAAACTGTGTGCATGTAAATAGCTAGGGTAAGATTTATCCTAAGTACCTCTGATGGATATGTATTGAAGAATTTAAAACTTATTGATGCCTTAAAAAAAAAGAGGATGATGAGACAAGAAAATGGATGACAACGACTGACCGGCAATTCATTGTAAAAAAAATAGTAAAATTTGTAAAAAAATTGTAAAAAAAATTGACTTACTTACGAATTGATTCATATGATTAATCGGAATGTCCGAATCAATTTAATTTTTGCGATTAATCGGAACTTCGATTCAAAATCGGCCAATTCTATAATACGTATTTATATGAAAAGACGGAAAAGACTTAAATCTTGCTAATGAAATATTAAATTTTTTGTATTGATCATATTTTTTTGAAAGCTGTTCACTTTTCCTGGATATATCACATATATGAAAATATAATTCAATAGTTTCTTAAATTTCTTCATCAGTTGACAGAGGACGAAATCATCGATGTATATCAGAGGTTACTCTGGAATCCGCAGAACACTGTGATCACAAAACAGTACACTTTGTTGTCTCTTACCAAATTAAGCACGAGGTTCCAGAAAGGTCATGAGTTAGTATCGATTTCGTTCGTGGTTATCCATATAATTTATGTAAAAGATCTTTATTTACAATCGCAATATTCATGTAATGTTCTGTTATTACAGGAAAATTTGTCAGATCATAGATACGTTTGGTAGCAATTTACATATCGAATTACAGCAGAGGGGTATTGAGTTTTCACAGCTGTTTCGAAAGTATGATCATCTGCGACCCGCGTTGCTCGAGAGAATGCCGCCGATGGAAACCGCGCGACCGCAGGCCAATGGTATCATAGGCATGATGAATGGTGAGCCAGAACCGGAAGATGAAAAATCCACAATGCTGGAATCAGCAACTACTACATCCGATTCAGTAAGCGCATATTCTTCTTAACATCTTAATTGTCACACAAGCTTTTGTAATCAATCCCCGCCATTATTTTATGCCTTTGTTAAAATAAATGTTAAATTGATATATATGACCTAGAATTTAATGTTTTCAAAATATTTGTGAATATTTGACTCATGTGCGTGAAAGATACATGTGCGTCTGCGCTACGTATATAAATGTAAATACAATGAAAATATATGCATTTATCGTCGTTAGATGAATTTGTAAAATGTTTTTATAATAGGATAGAGCGGATTTATTCCGTCACTTTTAACTTTAAAAGTAATATAAAATTTATAGCAACAAATAACATCTTTTTGCAGTAACGTGCTTATAACTACATGCCTATATCATGATTGCTATAATTTTAAGTAAATCTTTCACATTGGAATAGATTTTTCAATAAAATATGTTTTTTAAAATAAAAATCGTAGGTCAAGTTACTAGATTTTTTTACAGAATTCATAATATAATATGTAAAATTAATGCAAAGTGTTCTAGCTTTTATATAAATGGTAATAAGTAGAAAATGTGTATATTCAAATTGATATATATGGCGTTCTAGATTTATAGATCTATATATTCAATTGGATACATATGGTAGCCAAAATTTTAACATATATTTTCTTTTAAACTATAAATATATGATAAGCTAATAGCGTTTTCTCTTGGCTGCACTATCGCTCACCAATGCAACACTCAGACAATGTAGCATGTTTCCTTAGTTGGTGGCGAACTCATTCAGTGTAACATGTTTCTGTGGCTAGTGTAGTGCAAATTTTATGCATGAAGTGGGGTTTTGCCACACAATTTCAAAGAGATGGTGTGACATTAAAAATTTGAAAATAGAAGTCAACCGTAGCAAAATTAAACACGGTAGCATGAAGTAGTGTACACCATGGTATATGTACACTTTTATAGTGCAGCACTGATGCAGATGCAACTGGTGTAGTACGAGATTACACTCAGTGTATCTTAAGAGAAAACGCTATAAGAATAATATAAAGGATTTTTAATGATTCCAGAATGCATTTACTGATTGCTGCATTCAGTTTTCGTTTTATCAAAAAAATTATTGGTTAAATGCATTCTGTGATCATTTTGATCCCAATGTGATCACCAAGGGTGTAAATAATATAAAATATTCTATTAAAATAAAAAATAAATTTAAAAAAGATGTCTATTAATATCTTTAATTTTTTTGCAATTTTACAGAGTGCACTTTTAGATTTACTTGGAACTACGGATGTAGGAATAACGACGCCGGCGACGAACAATAAAAATTCTTCATCGAGTACGATTGCGGCAGCGCATAATAATGACCTGCTGGATTTGCTTGGAAGTTTGGATTTGAATACGCCTACGCCTGTCGCTCCCACGTTACCACTTCAACCGCAGGCATCATCCGCACCGATGTTCAGTCCCACTAATAACAGTAACTTCTTAGTAGATGGATTACTCAGTACTCCTACAGTGCAAAACGGTTCGTTACAAGATCTAAAATAATATTACGGATTTATTAATGTGTAAATCATTATAATCATAATTGTTGTTACAGAACTACCAAGTATGGTGGTCTTGGATAAATCAGGGCTCAAAATAACGTTCAAATTAGAAAGACCGCCTGATATCTCCGATCTGTTGGTCATAAATATGTTGGCTCAAAATTCTGGAAGCACTATTTTAACCGATTTTTTATTTCAAGCAGCAGTTCCTAGGGTTAGACACTATACACACAAAAACACACACACACACACACACACACGTGCATACGTACGTACGCGCGCACATTCCACGCAACACACACACACACACACACACACACACACTTATGATATTACTTTCGTATATCAAATCAATGTATTTATTATACATTTTTTGTTTGCAGACATTCCAATTACAAATGTTGTCGCCGTCAAGTACTGTCATTCCGCCATCTGGTCAAGTAACTCAAGTCTTGAGAATAACTAATATGAATAGAGTCAGTTTTCAATACATTATCTAAAACGTATTATGTAAAATAAGAAGTTTTTCGTTTCTAATCGATGATTTCTCTTTTGTTCTTTAGGCACAATTAAGAATGAGATTGCGTATATCATATATCGGCCCGACTGGATCAGTTCTAGAACAAACAGAAGTCAATAACTTTCCCGTTTCGACATCGCAGTGACAAGATGTAATACAAAATACATTTGTACATATGCCTGCCTAAAAATAATTAATAGAATTTTGAAAGCGGAGACTGAAAGGAAGATGAAAGAAACGCAATCTTTCTTCATTAGGACAGTGAAACATACAACTTGGCTATACCTAACACACACACACACACAGAGAGAGAGAGAGAGAAAGAGAGAGAGAGAGCATTTGTATTAAGCAATTTAATCATTGTATGTGCGGCATCGATAAGGCAAGACCTAAACTTTCTAAAAGACACTTTGAGTGTGTTGAAAAGTATGATAATTTAATTTTCCGCGATTTGTTGGATATATTCTAAAAATTCATAACGAAAAGTGAATTCTTCGGCGCGTATTAAAACTCGTCGCGGATAATGTGATATTAATATCGCGATCTTTCAAAAATTACGTTTTGTATTTTATTACTGTTGTCTATCGTTTTCGCGTAATTTGGTTACAATGAGAGTGTGTGTGTGCAAGTGCTTCGTTTTCGTAATGTCTCGCATGCGGAAGAAAAAGGAAGAAAAGAAAAATGTAAATATTTTTTCTAATAACTGAAATACGCGGAGGGAATTGGGGAGATATCGTGCTCTGATTGGTTGCATTCCTGTTTTTCGACTACTAATTTAGCGCATAATTTCTCACGGTTAAATAATGAAAAAATGAAGAAACGAGAGTAAAAAGAAGAAAACCGAAACACATCAGACTCTTTATATACCACTTAGGAACAATAGAACATTGAAAAAACACGGAAGGATCGGAAGAAGGTTTCGTCACCTAAAGTGCTTTGTCGCTGCCCCAAAAAGTTATCTATGAGAAGACGCTTATAACTCTCGCTGTAACAAAAAAAAAAAGATCTTTTCTACCGCTGTATTTGTAAGATATCACGGACGACTCGCGAATGATCGTCTTGTAAATATTAGATAATCACAATGACGTACAGAGAAAATTCTTTCGCGAAATAAACAAAAGTAGAAAAAAAGGACACACGAGATGGGACTCTTTATGTGTATATGATAGAACTGTTGATTCAATAACGCGAATATATGATAATATCCACGTTTTCGTCTTCGAGAAAAAGAAAGATATCATTTTTTGAGAGGAAAGACACACGCAAATACAAATATAAATACACATACACATGACACTTATGGTGCATGAGTGTGTTACGTGCGAGGATATTCACAACTTCGAATTGATATTCAGAGTATAGAGTAACATTGAAGGGCTGAATTCTGATTGTCATGTTATATCTATCGCGCGTATATATGCATATTGAGCTTTGCATTCCGTTGTACGAGAAATTCATTATCATGAGAAATATTGGGATTTTGTTAGCGGTCCAATCTCTTCGTCTCTTTTGAATTATATTAATTTCCGTGAAACACGTGCTCTAACGATGTTTCGCTACCTATATTGTATTAAATTGATTTTAACGAGAATTTTGACGGAAAGTCAACTCCGATTACGTGGCTGCGAAATCGTCCTACAAAGTAGAAATGCAAATTCCATGTTTTAAGATTGATTTTATATCTGCGAACTATCAAATATCCCATTTTTATTGTTTTCACAAAAAAGCCACGACATAATATAAAGAATAATTGTATACATATATATCGATGATAGTCTTTTAAGTTGCAGTAAAAACACTAACATAAAATTAATAGCAAAATAATAATGTACATAGTTTTTACTATCTAATTTTGGGATTTCAATTTTACTATTTACTACTCAATTGGAATTATTTACTCTCAGAGATATCATTTGTACATATTATGTCGAATAGAAGGGGGGGAAAGAGAGAAAGAGAGAGAGAGAGAGAGAGAGAGAGAGAGAGAGAGAGAGAGAGAGAGGAGGAAACAGAAAAACATGCAGAAACATTCGCTCATTTAACATAATGTTCATACGATTTTATAACTACTTTATCGAATTTTCATCTATTGATCATCTATTGATGAGTAACAAATGTAAACTCCACAATAAGTATACAAGTTAAGAAAAAAAGATACACGGAGAACAGAATGACAAAACCAATTTTATCATTCTCTATTTCTAAATATGTATTTTTTTCTTTAAATGTTTCTATGAATCAAGTTATAAAATACGCTATTGTGTACTTAATTATTTAATATGATAACGTGATATAACGTGATGCGATATAGATGTAGAGGTATGTACATACCATAAGAATTCATATCTCTCAAAAGCATCGCACATTTCTTTCAGTCGTATATTTCCTTCTATGATTTCTAATCGGGACATCTTACATATAATTTCTCGATCAGCTTTACGATTGACTGAATAAATATGTGTGCGTGTGCGTGCATGTAAGCGCGCGCATGTGTGTATACTGCACGCATTTTAGCTCCGTCCCTTATATGTTGCTCGAGATACAAATGCACGCGCGCGCGAGATATAGAAATATATAAGATAGAACAGGTAGGTGTGCGTTCCTGAGTGGCCTTGTCCTTAAAGTTTGTGACACAGCGCATCAGCCCTTCAATGGGGTTATTGCTCTGCCTACTTGTTCTGAATATAATATATATTACACATTAGTTTTATAAACATACTTATAAATATATAAATATATACATGAAGATATTGATTAAGGATAAAAATGCTGTATATATACTTTTTAGCGAATCAAGGTGTGAAAATAAAATGTATTTTTATTCCACTAACGTTTTTTAAAATCATCCGCCATTCATGTATACTCGGAACATAAACTTTCTAAAATCTTTATAAAATCATAGAGCTACCATACATTGATATTTTTCATTCTCGATTGTATAATTTTAATCTTCCATCTTAAAGTTTCTCGAGCGCAAATGATGAAGAAATTGCAAAGTAATCGTTTCAGAAACTTCGACTTTAAATGAGAATACATATTTTTGTTACAAATAGCATATCTTTATTATACATAGCAGATTTATTATCACACTCATTATGCTGAATATTATTTTTGCTGAGAATCACAAGACGCGTTACTGCCAACGTGATTAAATAGACGGTCCTTGATAATTTGCGCCATTAAACCATGAATAACTTCGATGGTAGTTTTACAACTATCCCTGGTCGCTTTTATGAGTTTTTCCACTGTACTGCGATCATGAGGATCCGTGCCGCCTAAAACAAATCCTCTACCCAAAGCTGATTCCGAATGTTCTAATTTATCCGACAAATCGAATATTTGGCCGGTAGTATAATCCGCATTTGTTAATAGGCTAGAAGAGCTCAAAGTGTTCACCCAGTATTTATTCCATAATGAGTCGAGCAGTCGTCTATCCAATGCAGACTTGAAGTAGGATACCTCCAAGGAGTAATATTGTTTACAATGAACACCAAAATCCTCGATCTTGTTCAATGGTATTGTCTGATATTCTGACGGCTCTTCATTAGCAGGTTTATATCCCTAAAAGCAATTTAAGTGAAATGCTAATTATTTTTCTAAAAAATTTCTCTAGAAAATGTAAAGTCAATATTATATATAATAATAACAGGAACACACTTTTTGTAATTAGCTAAAGAAACATATGAATCCTTAAAATTCACTAAAAGTTTTCTATTACTAGGTAAAAAATTTTTTAATTATCAACTATATATTAATGTCCCATCCCAAATAACTTTTTTATTTTTGATCTTAGGAAAAAATGTTTCAGACAAAATTGTACAACTTTGAGGGGGACATAAGATGATGTTATTAGTTTGACCTCGAATAATTGCTTGAAGGTCACGTGAAAGTTATCTTCAATTTTTTAAATGAAATCCCCTACTTTTTATTGTAAATGTAGATCATCTCGAGAATTTCCAAAACTATAATTAAATTCATTTTCATTAAGTACTTTTCGAGTTATATAAGGCTTGCAAGTTACAGCACCGCCGGCATTAGCATTATCAAAGTGTCCGACCGACGACTACGACTTCTTGAATGTTGTTCAGGATCATGACTTGGATAATATTTGTCAAGATCAAAGCCATTGGAAATTGTATCTCTTATTTTCATTTTTACATAAAAAAATGAAACATGAAAAGATACAATCTTTAATGGCCTTGATCTTGACAAATATTATATTAATTTTTGTCTGAAACATTTTTCCCTAAAATCAAAAATAAAAGTTATTTGGGGTGGGACATTAAAATGGGACACCTTGTATATATAAAATTGCAACACTTAAACTTAACATAAATGCATAGTATAATAACTAGTCAAAATTGTGAAACATAAAATCATTCCAAATTATTATATTTAAAAATTAATAAAATGTCCCAAGGTCACTAGGACTCATATGTCCCAGTTATGAGTTAAGTATATCTGGAACTAAAATAAACATCTTAGATTCCTTTCTTCTAGAATGGATTAATTTTAATTTTTTAAGACATGATCTAGATAAAACATACTTTAGGATAAGTTCTGAATGCACCAAGGCAAACTTTGCCAGCGGAGATGGTTCTCACTGGATCGATAACAATTGCAACAAATGGTTCTTGGAAATTTTGATTGAGCATCTGGGTGGATACGTCGATACCAGATAACCAGCAACCATATCCAGGATGACTGTGATACCATCCAATCGCATTTTCTAATCTACCAACCTAAAAAATAAATTATTAGAAACTATAGATTATTGTTATATATTTACAAAGTAGTTTTTGTTAAAATATATGTATGTACTTGTTTAGCTGCTTCTATATATGCTGTCATGTACTCATAAGCTTGAGCTTGAGCATTTACTCTAGTTTCGGTCCCTTCGACTGGCAATGCAAAGGAATCCATTACAATCATCGTGTTTGCTGCTACTTTACCAAGTAGGAGGCCCATTACTTCTAGCGTCCCACCAGATCGTGCATGCATAACCATTTTTAACAAAGCTAATGCAGATATTTTTATGTCCTTGAAGAAATGGGGACTACAAATAAGAAAAAAATAATGATTACAGTTAATGTTTTTGGTTCTCGCAGGATACATAGATTAGTCATATTCTTTTTCTCTCCCATACTCTTTCTCCCATGGTTTGGCAGTTAATATATCTTGTTGTTCCTTCCTGTCATATCTATAAATCTCGTCCATGGTGCTAATAGTTTCGATGCAGTTTGACAATTCCCATGTCTTCTGGGCAATATTAGTCTGATCAGAAGACGGACCAGCCATTCTGTCAAAAGAATAACAACAATAATAAGAAGAGGAATAACAAAAGTATATAGTCTGCATTCTACTATAATACTTAGCACAACAAGTGTGAACCATATAAATTATATCAACTACAAGAAAAATAACATTAAATAAAAAATCGTTACGTATTATAATATTTAGTTAAAATGTATAATTATTTAGAATCCCCTTCTCCCCATCTAAAATTTTAATAAAAATATACTCATTCGATGCGTCTTCACTCAAAACGAAAGAATTTGGCAGAAAAATGCGGTGATCGACCTCATGAATCGAATTATTAAAGTTGGAAACTTTAGAGGTTAAGATATTTGTCATCCCGACTCAATGCGATGTATACGTTTTGCTTTAATTATACAAACTCACTGCTTTAAAAACAAAGCCGTTTCACAAACATAAATTCATTGCTTTAAAAACACAAATTCACTGTTTTAAAAACAAATTCTCTGTGTTTCACAAAGCAAATTCACTGCTTTAAAAACAAAAATTCACTGCTTTAAGCGCACAAATTCTTTGTGAATTTATGTTTTTAGAGCAGTGAATGTGTTTTTAAAACAGTGAATTTGTGTTTTAATAATTAATGCAGAATGTATAGAATTGTATCGGGGTGATAGATAAGTCTCCAAGCTTAACAACTCCATTCACGAGGCCGATCGCGTTTTTCTGTTAGATCTTTCCTTTTGAGTGAAAACGCGTCGAATGAATAAATTTTTGTTAAGATCTTAGGGCGGGGGAGGAGGGGAGGAGCGTAATCTAAATAATTACTCTAAATGTATATAATATCTACTAATATCAAAATACACATGTTTCCTCGGTAAACAAATAGCTTTTTAAATGCTCTTGAGGTTAAGCGGATTCAATATCCAATTAACTGTCGATAGAATTACTGTAGTAGATAAATGTACTAACTGGATGTGCTAATTAATTATATCTCTTAGTCTCAATAACAATCTATCCATCACTTGAACGACAAATAGTAGTAACACTAATAACTCGATATTTGCTGCTTTCTCTCAATCTTTGCCAGAACCTTCCAAATGGTCACGTGATTGTATCTTCACCAAGGTTTCAACAGTATCCACCACATTCAACGGTAAGCAGGCTTCTCTCAATTTTATCCCCTCCAATGCTTCCAATCTTCCCGCCATGCATTTAGAGTTTAGAGCTGTCGCAAACAAGTACAAATATAACTTTTAGGATTAATAGAGAGAGATAATATCCCAAATGAAAATAAAATAAGTCATAAATATGGCTTCTTTTACTTTTGTTTCTTTCTCATATATTTATCTTTCAATGAAACCGCGCCTGACTGCGAATAATATGAAATGATACGCCGCGTCGCCGCGCCGGTACACAGCTACGAATAGAGGAGAAACATTGGACTTATGGTGGGGGACAAGCACGAGCCGGCGAGAAGCAAGGGGACCCCAGTTAACCCGTATCACAGTCTAGATATACCAGTTGCGACACTGAGCGTCGACGTTTTTAATGTAGGAGAGACAAAGTCATGTGATCTGTAGCCATTTTGAGAACTGTATACGCGCTCACATTTAAATATTTTAGCTAAATTACACTGATTAATAGCATTTTTAAATAAAAGACGCATATGATACAATGTATCACAATAAATTATTTCATCTTTGTTTAATATTACAAACAATAAGATAAAATTGAGTAATTGTTTTAGGCTATATCATCTATGTTTCTTGTTGGAAAACCGTATAATAAATGAAATTATAAAATAAATGGATACTATTCATTTGTTATAAAATGTACTATTATTGAAATGTGTGTGTGTGTGTGTGTGTGTGCGCGCGCGCGCGCGTACGTGCGTGCGTGCATGTGTATATACATATAAAACAAAGTGTTTACAGGTATATTTTTAAAAGAAAATTTTACTTTATTTAATAATCATAATAATCGCTGTTCTGGACAAAATAAGTAATATAAAAGAATTAGAATAATATAGAATTAGATAATAAATAGAATAAAAAGTTCTTAAAAATAAAATTAAAATAAGAAACAAAGAAAAATAATATCCATTATTTAACACATTTACAATTAATACCGTTACAATTAATATGTAAATCCACATATATCATTCTATTTATTTTTCAAATATTTTTACTTTTACTATTATAGTCATATTATATATGTAATCATTAAAATACATAATAAATAAATATGTTGAGAAATAAATATAAAAAAAAATACGTATGATTATTAGTAAACAATAATAAAAATTATCAAATAAATATTGTATTAGATGTACAACTTTGCTTCCGCCGTTTTCCTATAGATGGCTTTAGCGGTAAGTGGTGGTCGAAATAGATCATAGACGTCATACAATAAACTTGGGCATCTGTCAACATAACCCCATAGAAACATTAGTCGATTTGTGTCTGCATCATAAAGTTATTCTCGATTGAAAATGTCAGTTTACGAGCCAAATTCTCGTCATTTGCGGGAGGTTTTAATTTTTTGCTTCAATATGAAGAAATCTGCGGTTGAGGCTCATCGAATGCTCTCAAATAGTTATGGTGAGGCCACTATTAGTGAAAGAACATGTCGTGAGTGGTTTCATCGCTTCAAGAACGGTGATTTTGATGTCCAAGGTCATGCTCTGTATTTGGTGGGACCAGCTCGGCGTAGTGTATTATGAACTGTTAAAACCGACTGAAACAATCACAGGCGATCGGTATCGAACGCAATTGATGCGTTTGAGCCGAGCATTGAAAGACAAACGGCCGCAATACAACGAGAGACACGATAAAGTGATTTTGCAGCATGACAATGCTCGACCCCATGTTGCGAAAGTGGTCAAGACATACTTGGAAACGTTGAAATGGGAAGTCCTACCCTACCCACCGTATAGACGTTGCTCCCTCTGACTATCACTTGTTTCGATCAATGGCACACGGCCTGGCTGACCAGCACTTCCGATCTTATGAAGAAGTAAAAAATTGGATCGATTCGTGGATAGCCTCAAAAGATGACCAGTTTTTTCGACGCGGGATTCGTACGCTACCCAAAAGATGAGAGAAAGTAGTGGCCAGCGATGGACAATACTTTGAATCATAAATGTATAACCAGTTTTTTATAATAAAGCCTCGAATTTCGGAAAAAAAACGGCGGAAGCAAAGTTGTACACCTAATAGTAGAATGAAATATTCAGTTACACAACGATTAAAATTAATACGATTAATGTATAATTGTAAATTTATTATTATTTTATTATTATGAAAATAAATGTAACTTTAAGTATTACTTAAAAACACAAATTATCTGCTTTAAAAACAACAATTCTGCTTTAAATATACAAATTCTTTGCTTTAGCGGTTTGTGTTTTTTAAAGCAGTGAATTTATATAATTAAAGCAGAAATACATTATGCTGTATCAAGTCGAAATAACAGATACCTTAATCTCTAAAGTCTCGAATTTTAATGATAGCTCGATTTCGAAGGCTAATCGCCACATTTTTCTGTCAGATTCTTTCGTTTCATGCAAAAATATGTTGAATGAGATTAATTTCATCAAAATCGGAGGTGAGGACTCTTTTCTAAATAATTACCAGAATGAATTTTATTATTCATTCAATATCACAGTCTTGCGTTCCTTGTTTGGTTAGGTTATAACGCAGTCTTCTCTGTGAGACAACTAATGCGCGTGACAAATTTGTCTTATTAAAAAAAATGGTGTGTCGATAACTGATATATCTAGACCCATATTCATATTCTTCCTTATTTTTTAAGGATGGAGAAAACCTCCATGAAGGATTCCTCGATTCTTCAAGGCCTCCAGGGAGTCAATCATGTATTTTCACGTGAAACTTTTCACATTTTATTTTTCATTTTTCACTTTTCATTTTTCACTCATCGAGATTTCACGTAAAACTTTTTATGTATAGCGATTACATATGCGATATTGCATGGCTGAACAATCCATATAATCTATAACCTATGACAGAAAAAAAAATAATAATGAACGTGACTGTGAAACAAAAAGAAATGTTATTAAATTATTTAAAATCCTGAATTAGTGAGGGATAAAATAGATAGAAAAAACGAAAGTGGATTAAAATTGATAAATTTAAAGTATTTTATTATATAATATATTATTGTAATTGCTAAGAAATAAATAATTATTTGACAAAATATACATTAAAATAACATTTTTAGTCTCATTTTTAGTCTCATTTTTAAACTATTAATTGTATGTATCCAATATATATGTACGTAATAATAGTTTTTGTAATATATATTATTATAATATATATACATATATATAAAACCTCTTACATATATATAACCTCTCTTTCGTCAATTTACTTTTTCATTATTAATGGCATCTGCCTTGAGATAAATTGTCGGAGGATAAGATATATCAGTTCCCAAGTATCATAATTTATCAATTTTCTAGATTTTCGCCTTTTCGCCACCATGGTCCTTGGCTAAAAAGTGAATTTCATATTTTCATAGTTGGGAAAGTTATAATACATGATCCCTGGAAATCATAGATGTTCATAGAGTGTCACATGAAACTTTTCACTTTTCACGTTCCGCCCTAGGGGAAAAGTTACATGATTGATAGTATCTACCCCTAGTTTCATAAACTAATCTTAAGTCTGCCTTCCCGAAGAAAGGAATATTTTAGGGATTTTAGTAACCTACTGAAGGCAGCATAATATATAACATATGCAAACTAATATCGTGAATTACAAATAATAGAGATTATAAAGGCATTGTTAATTAAAATAAAATCGTAATTAAGCATTTTGTAACAATAATGAACAAAAATAAAATTAATAGCGAATTCGATTGGACGCTAAATGCGCACTGATGCACATTAAAACCGCCGTTCATATATAAAATAACGTAAATATATATTTATAACTAAATATAAAAATCGATTAACTCGTGAAATACTGAATACATTTTATTGCACTATTAGGTAAAATATGTATTTCATAATTCGAGATATTTGCATTTTATTTTTATACTAAAATTAAATTCATTGTTCAACAGCTTTAATATGCATCAGTGTTCGCAGTCGAATTCATCATAATGCTTATTATACGAAGGAGAAAATGCTTTTGGCATAGTTTATGGTATTTACGAAAAAAAAGTTATCGAAAATAATTATCGATGCGACAGATCTAAATTAAAAAGTAAAAAAATAAAAAGACTGTGACAAAATAAATTTGAAGGTTTGCTTGGTTATGAAAACTGCACTTCTTCCTCAAGGAAATTCATAATCTCCCTTGAGAAAAGGAAACTAATAAGACTTCTTATTTAGGAAAGTTTATGAAACATGAAATGAGGAACAAGGAATCCTCATTCCTCAAGAAAGGATTATGAATATGGATATAAAGGTCGACAGGAGTGATGGATCAAGTCCGATTAGAGTACTAGAAACGTATTCATGTCCATCATTTTTATTTCTTTTCCCACTTGCTCTGTTCCCATTCCATTACTGAGCTGTGACGGGTCATGGTCATTACAGGTTATGATTTGTACTTGCTGCTTGAAATTTTGTAGCTCCTTTCATTCCATTTTTGATTTCAAAATCAGTTAAATACCTATCGTAATATTAGTGGAGGACCAAGAGTGTTTGGCATTCAAGTTATTTCTAGATAAGGTGCCAAATATGTCAATTTGAAGAGAAAGATTGAAATTTCTCATCTGCGAGGAAGTGTCGTGATGTTTATTCACAAGTCATGTATGTGTTTATTTTACAGCAATATAGCAAGTTGTTGACGAATATTATCCGCAGGAAATTTAAATAATCGAATACCTTTTTCTGATCTATTGATACAGTTTACCAACAAGGCATTTTATTTAAAAATTTTTTTGTCTTTGTTAATGTATAATATTTCAATTTTTTTATATTTTTCTTTTCATCTCTTAGTATAGTAAAATTTCGAAGTGCGGAAATACGAAGCTACAAGATTCCAACAGTTTAGAAGCTATAACTTATAACAACGTATGACTATAACCTTCTCAGCTCAGCGACGGAATGGGAACAGAGCAAGGAGTGGGGAAAGGACTAATGGCGGATATGCGAATATTTACGTTTATATAGTGCCTTAGTCCGATTTGACTTTGGAGACTTCACGTGATAGGACCTTGAAATTCTGGATTCAGGGCTTCAAATAATATAATCTC